TTGTCTCTTCATACTCAGTTTCATATGACAAAATCAACGATCTCTACTATTCTTATAAATAAAGAGACGACTATGTCTTTTCTTCTCCTTTCTAAGCAATAACATCTCCTTCTTTCCCTTTTCCACTTACGCCATCAACTCTCCTACATCCAAGTACGGTAAAATTGAAGCGTTCGTCTATATTTTATCTGTTTAGGTTTTTTTCCTTAGATTTGATGGTTTTCATTAGTTTTATGCATTATATGATTTTCATTAGTTTTGTGTATAAACTTGTGTTCAAAATACTGTTCTTAAAATTTAAATAAGCAATCATTTTCGGACCGGGAACGGATTAATCCATTTTACATTGATTCCTATTGCAAAATTAGTTTCGGTTTACGAACGGGTTTCAGGAACGAATTAAATTCGTTAACCGAGGGTCCACTGTTCTTTGTTTCAATAAATTCATTTCGTTTTTTTTTTTTTCCTTTAAAGTTCACATTGGACGAAACGCGTCGGCTAAAACTAGTTTTCGTATTGTCTTTTTTCCTTTATTGATATTTTTTGTACAGGCTACTTCTAAGAACTTTTTTTACATACATACATACATATATATATATTTATAATCAAAGGACTTGACACAACAGGACATAAACACAGTTCTGAAAATACACGAAGAATTTTTTATACTCTGAAGAATCATTTCAGCCAACACTTCGTCGAAAGGAAAACGTTGGCGAAATTAATGACGAAAGTAAAAATATAGATAATTCACACAGTAAAAAAAAGCGAGGAGGGGAAAACTATGGAACACGATTAAAATATAATTATTAATAAAATAATTTACGAATAAATAATAAATAGTTTCAAGTGAGTATAAAATGAAAAAATAGTACACACGAACCTCCTTAAAAGATTGAATGAAATGCTCGTTCTGTTTGCACAGAGTCGGTTGATGTAACTTAATGTAGACCGCTTCAAGGAGATGTAAATGGTGAACGAACCAAGCTCTGTGCAAAATCGTGAAAGAATTGTTCACAGATCTGTTAGCGCAGTCTGTGCTGTAAAGCAAATGCTGGCCGAATCATGCGCAGAGTTACTCTCAAAGAGAGATTCAAACCATTCCATCTTATACTGGCAGGAACGTGCTGGCTAATTCCAGTTTCAAGTCGCTGATAGGTTCGTCCTACGTATTCAGCTTCGCACTGACATTTGAATTTATATACGATAGAACTACTTTGAAAATAGAACAAAAACCATATTTGACAAATGAAGAAAAACGACGAACTAGTCGCAAAAATAACACTCAACCTGGCAGTAGAAAAACCTGATGTAATGCAAGCCGACACTGTCAGCTAGCGTTTGGCTTTTCACACCGAGCCACGGTAATTTTAAATAAACGGGACACAGTTTGGGACCGAACATTACCAATTTTTAAAGCGTTTAATGACATTCACAGGATGATAATTGTCATAAAAAACACGATGTATGTTTTTCATTTCTTGATCGAGTCTACAAGGAAAACAAATCCTCAACGCACGACGAATCAAGGTATAAATCGGGTTTATCTTACGAGACTTGAGGACAAATGAATTCCAATCGATGTATAAACCTGTGAACGTAAGCTTCCAATAAACACTAGTAATGAACAAATCACTTTTACTTTCAACCAGTACGACCAAAAAAGTACAACTGTTTTCCACTACAAAGTTGAATTGAAGAGATGGATGAAAGGAATAAAGTTGGGTATGAAAAGTAGCGCTGTTGATGGAATCGAAAAGAGAAAAAATGCCATCAACATATATATGTCATCCTAGACAAACTGTTTCGCTGTATCACAGCTAATCAGTGTGGCTAGATGTCCGGTTGCCGCTAGCTAGGATTGAAACCCGACTAAATTGGAGGCAGTCGGAGATTCTACCACTAAGCCGTCGGCGCACGGTAGGGATGAAGGTGAATTCTCTGAGACGCTTTTGAACTCTATCCAGACTGGAAAGTGAAGATTGTGGATCTCCCGTTTATATATAGCAACAGTATTTTTTCGGTCTGATCTAATTCTTGTAAAGGTAGAGGATAGCACGAGGAGTCAGATGCATATTGGTGTGATATATATATAAGCAGGATCCCCTCTTTTAAACACGTTGTATTAAACGCCAAAGACAACAGTCCTGTTGATTTTCTTTTGTATTTTCTCATATTTCCGAATGAGACTTTTTATTCAAAAATATATATATATATACATATATATATATATTCCAAAAGACAACCGAGTACTTTCGAACATCATCGTTCATCATCAGGGTCAAATTTTAAAAAAATTAGCCAATTACCTTGCAGCGAAATCGTATTACTACATTTATACGAACCAAATAAACGTTACAAAATATTTTTTTAACTTCAAAAGACGCGTTAATGTTATCACGTGCAGGCGAAGCCATGTGATCAAGTGAAGGGGTGAAAAGATTTCTTATTCTAAAAACCAAAAATCGAAAAATACGTTATGGAATTTAAAATACAACACCCCTTTTGCAAATTAATGGAAACAATCGCTTTAGTTTCCTTTATTTCACCTTACGGTCGGTTTTAGAACCACAGGAATGACAGGGTATAATCGATTTCTATTTTTTCCTTAGATTAGGTCATTTGCAGTGCTGTGCATTAATATAAATTTATTTTCGGAGTGTATGATGAAATTTGTTTGGCCTTGCAAAATATTGCGTCAGATTTTTATTACTCCCAGACACTATTGTCTTGACTGTCGATTAGTTGTCCTACGGTCATTGTCTGCGATGGACATTACTCTAAGGAAGCGTACGGAAATAGTAACGCTACACGAACACACTGGCAAGCCTTACCAGTGAGCAAATCAAAGTACTATAGATTGGCCCGGAAACTCTGCTGATTTAAAGCCAGTCGAGAATCTGTGGTCAATCTGCAAGGAACGACGTCGTGATATGGACATACGAAGTACCAACATGTGCTCTGGGTCATGTTTCATTGGAAAAATACGAAAAAAGTAAATAATAACGGAATTATTCGTTTTGTTTCAGTTAATTTGCACAAGTGTTTTTATATATATATATATATATGTATATGTGTGTGTGTGTAAAACAACGCTTTAAATAAAAAAAAATAAATGAAAAAAAAACTGTTTAAATGGAATGTAAAAAATATGCACTCTTGCATGCGCAAGGAAAGTGATAGCTTTGCGACATGCCGTCTATATATCGTTCACCACAGGAGACGATATCTTGAAGTGAATATGATATATTTAATGTGCGTATATAATATATTAATGTATTTTATTTGATTTGTTTAATAGCATATTGACTCCTTATGGGTCATTTAATGCCAAAATTTAATTTCCTTTGGACCTTTGAAGTAATATGTTATTCTGCTTTCACAATTGAATACATGGTAGATGATTCTCAGCTTTTGTGCATATGCATGCTTGTGTGGACATGATTAGCGGTGATATGTGTTTTACGTTGTCGTTTTGTTGAAGTTATATTTTGGAATAATTTGATTTTTTTAAAAGAAATTGTAGGATATTACATGGAGTAATATTATGATAGAGTTATGATGATGTTATTTGTGTCGTTTTTCGGGGAAATTTATTGCCCTTCATTATGGCTCCCAAGCATAAGGCAAGCTCATGGGTGCTTATGTAGGTGAGGTCCGACCTACGTCAAAAATCAGGTTACGTCGCGTCAGAGGAACGGATCTCCGACGTAAGTCGAGCACCCCCTGTATATATATATATATATATATCCAGATTGAGAAATATATGCAAATGGTCTAGACACTCTTCCACTCACATAGCCTGCCAATTTCGTTTAACCATGAAAGAGACTGTCGCCAGTCAGTGTTGATACCGATGTCCACGTTGTCCAAGATGTTGGGTGAAAAGTTGCACTTTCGCTATATTATGCTCTATGATTTCAGAAAGGAGTAAGCATCAAAATAGCAGAAGAAAGAAAATCAAAAGATTTATTTTGGATCGTGCTATAACTTTTGAAACGATCAAAAAGGGATTTGGTAGATTTCATCAGGGTAATTTTAACCTTAACGATTGCCAAGGGTTTGAAAATCGATATCTCAACTGCCTTTCGCCATTTGAAGAAACTTGGGTTCGTTTCCAAACTCGATACTCGTGTGCCATATTCTCTGACGGAATAGAACAAGCTCTATTGGGTGTTCTCCGGCGACTTCTTTGCTGTTACGCCACGAAAAGGAGTCGGATTTAGATGAAGAAAGTCCCTAGACTATTCCACTTATGAAACCCTTCCAAATCCCGCATTCTCACGAGCAGACGAAAATGGAATAATTCTAAATTTAACGATTTGAGTAAAGCCGAGGATGATGACGGGTGTTTAAAATTGCTGAAGAATTGTTTAGAGTGATGCGTGATGACACTATATGTAAAACAGTTTCAAAAATATTATACACCTTGGCTAGAGGCACACTAGATTTTAAGACCCTAAGTTTCAGCCTGCTAAGACTATAAATAAATCCGGCACTGGCTCTTGGACAGAATTGTCACAGACGTTGAAAAATTGATCTTTTATGACAGGGGTCGTCAGTCTTTTGCTATGTGCCGACTTTTTTTTTTGTTTTGTTTTAAATCATCCAGTGTGCCAAGAGCATACGTATTTTTATACAAGTCAAGGTCAATATATTTGTTCTGCAATATATTTTATATAGAAAGGGCACCTCGGCGTGGTGTAATGGTTAGCAAGCTTGTCTCGCTAGATCAGTTACAACTGAAAAGTGAGTTCGATCCTCACTAGATGCCCCATACTTTCGGCCTTGTGCCACATCTATGCTACGCTTGGAAAAGAACTATATTTTATATAGAAATATATAATATATATTCTTAAGTATATATTAAAATTGAAACAGCTAAATATCTTTGTGTTGTCATAGTTATTGGTTCTGGCTTCGTGATGTCATTTCCGGCTGCGTGCATTTGGAAATTGCTTGGTGTGGCACGCGTGTCGTAGGTTACCGACCCTTGGTTTATGACAACGTCTGACGCAAATGGAACTGGAAACAAGCAATGTGAATATGCAGAACCCTTGGTTAAAGCGGACTTGACTCCAGTGAAAATGTTGCTACAGTCAATGTCGTTTTCGGTTACTATATTTGTTTTGCGTTTTGCAGAATCTTACAGTTTGGGACAAAACTACCGACGGTGTATTAAGGGCTCAGTCGTTCATTAACCCTTTGAGCTTTTACCATCGCTTTACCGGTGGTAGACAAAAATGACGTAATGCCAAGCCACCGGTTGAACAGCGGTAGACAAAAATGACGTAATGCCAAGCCGCCGGTTGAACAGCGGTAGACAAAAATGACGTAATGCCAAGCCACCGGTTGAACAGCGGTAGACAAAAATGACGTAATGCCCAGCCACCGGTTGAACAGCGGTAGACAAAAATGACGTAATGCCCAGCCACCGGTTGAACAGCGGTAGAGAAAAATGACGTAATGCCTAGCCACCGGTTGAACAGCGGTAGACAAAAATGACGTAATGCCAAGCCACCGGTTGAACAGCGGTAGACAAAAATGACGTAATGCCTAGCCACCGGTTGAACAGCGGTAGACAAAAATGACGTAATGCCTAGCCACCGGTTGAACAGCGGTAGAGAAAAATGATTAAATGCCCAGCCACCGGTTAAACGGTGGGTAAACACTTGTAACTATTTTTATATCTACCGTGAAACATTATATACCAATTATTTCCGAATTTTGACTCTGGAGCTCAGGCAGAAGGGTTAAAATTGTTCAGGAACGCAAGCCTCGAATGGTTAATAAGCTTGGTGTAGGAGAACCTTGCACACAATATTTGGGGTTTTCTAATTTTTTATATGTACCATTTCTTATTACCCGACCCTGTTGGTGTATCTTTTGATGTGATGATATAAAATGTATGGATGTCATGGAATAGATAAACAGATACGTAAGATTTATTTGTAAAGGGTTAAATCTGGCATTCCAATAGAAGTCTGAGAAGTCATTTGGCGGGAAAATACTCATCCGTGCCGTGTTTTTTTTTTTGTGTGGTATCTTCCATTATCGGTCTTTGTGTTTAATATAAAGCCACCCACGCATTGATAGTATCTTTCGTTGCTTCCTAGTAAGGTAGTGCAATGTACTGTTACACGTCGATATTTTATTTTTTATAAAATGAGCCAGTAGATATGGGTTATGCTTAACATAAGGAAGAGGCAGATGAAATTTCTGGGACACGTGATGAGAAAAGAGGGCCTGGAGAATCTGATACTCACGGGACGAATACAGGGAAAAAGAGACGTGGCAGGCTTGGGCAGGTGGATGGCGGAGCGTGGTCTGGAGGAGTTTGCAGAAACGCAAAACCTGTTGAGAGCCACAAGGGATAGGGAGAAGTGGGGGGCCATTATCGCCTACGTCCTGAAAAGACACAGAAAATAAAAAGAAGAAAAGTTAATTAGCCGCTGTTATACACGTTAAAAATCTCAATACTTTCTTCTGTCTAATTTCTCCTTTCTTTCTGCTTACGTTTCACATTTCAAGAACACCCTGCTGTTCTGTCGAAGGAACCCAAGAATACATAAATGAAATGAATTAATAAAATAAACAAAAGTAAAAGAAAAAATGACCCCTCCTTCTTATTCTTCTGCGTTCTTCCATATTTCTCTCTCTCTCATATATATATATATATATATATATATATATATATATATATATAATTATTTATTTAAAAATATGATTCCAACTCGCGACATAAGAGGTCGCGAGTTGGAATCATATTTTAAATAAATAATTATATTTATGCTCTACTTTGTATCGAGCACTATTTTATAAAAAATTAACTAAAATACTAAGGAACTTTGGATTATTTACCTAACCAGTTCCTTCCTATTTTCTATATATTTTCATATATATATATATATATATATATATATCCGCTTATTTTTCTTGTCTGATATGACTTTTGCCTTCCTGATATATTTTATCCGTACAAGATTACTGGTCATATATTTAAAATGCTACACCCCTTGAAGTCAATAACAGCCACACTGCTTACGGCCATATCACGTTGAAACGCCGGCTTCTGTACAGTCACCGAAGTTATACAACACAAATCCTGGTCAATATTTAGATAGGGTGACCGCTTGGGAATACCGGATGCTGTAAGCATGAACGTACGGATGTTGTAATGGATAATGGCTCGGAATTGTTATTCCGAGAGCCGATTTCCGTTTCCTGTTGGGTTCGTTATATTCACTAACTCGCAAATACCCTCGATAAAGGCATGAACCCAACTCTTCTATCACTCAACGAAGTAAGACGTGAATAACTAAACAATTATTATCTCAAAAAAATATTCTTACAATCTAAAAATATTTTCTGGCTTTAAATAACCTGTAAAGTTGATAAGCCGCAGAAAAATGGTTCTCCAAAGTTTTATTTTTTTAAATATCTTTGTGATGCTGTCTTTGGAAAGGTACTAGAATGGTTTCCCTTTTGCCTTCTCCACAGTTTGAATTCAGAGTTAACATGGCTCGTACTACTGAATTGCATTCTTTCAATGAAATTCATACCTACTCGGAAAGAAGAGGTTGTGGGAGTCGAAGAACTAATGTGGTGGTCTATTAGCGATTTTCCAAGCTTAGCTCAGATGTGACACAAGGCCAAAAGTAGGGGACACCCAGTGAGGATCGAACTCACTACTCAGTAGTAACAGTTCTAGCGAGACAAGCTTGCTAACCATTATAGCGCCTCGAGGTTTCCTATGTAGTGGTCTATTAGCGTGGAGATGTGGAAGTTGTGTCCACTAAAATATCAAATGAAATATTTATAAACCAATCACACTCAAGAAAATACGTACATCTTAAAACGCACCAATAACATCATAGAATAGAAATCAGAAAGTTTGTTTTAATTGTCATCATTATTTTTAGGTAGATAACCCCCAAATATCGTGCGGACGTAGTAGAAGACATATTGCGTGGAATTTTAGCGCCAATTAAGAAGAAATAAATGATTTAATTCTGGAGCTGATTTTGTTACGAAAACGTGTATAAAACACACGAAATCCAGCCCCAAACAGGATACGCACAGCTGTCACCAAGTTCCATTCCACTCTCGCTTATGATCTTCACGACCTCATGCTAAAAGCGACAGCATTGACAGACTTTAGACTATTGCAACACCGCCAACAGTAAGAAAAAAATTCTATCTCTTGTATACTCTTTACTATGAATCATGCACACACGTATTGATTTTTTCATACAAACACACATATAGCAACATTTTATTGTTTCTCAAATACGTACACAAAGACAATTTATATCTTATTTCAGAACTACCGAAACAAAAAGACATTATCTGTCTATATTTCTGAGATGAGGTATTATGTACACTATTTACATTATTCGGACTATTGTCCTCATCTTAGTCGCTATTTTATCACAACGTTTTAGCCGGTAAAAAAATGGTTACTGAAGATATTAGGTTTATAATACCCAGAAATTCATACATTTATGTCCTCAGGGACATATGGCACGGTGGATAAAGGTGTTAGATCCAGTGACAAGACCCAAAGAGTGTGAGTCCTGGTTAAGGCAGTGGAGAACTTTCAGAGGGGAATTAACATTTGACATCCATAAGACATGAAGCTAGAACAGTCTAACCCCAGTGAACGAAATAACAATGACATTCCAACTGCCTGAACGGCCGAAACGTTGGGATAAACATGGGAACAAAGATGAAGACAATAGTCCGAATAATGTAAATAAAAAGATATTACTTTTGAATTCTATCACCAACTGCTTGTGTTCTTGTCGTTATTTTAAATGAATGTTAATGTTTTTAAATTAATGTACGTTGTCTTTTCTACTGAATTTTATTCTTTCAATGAAAATCGTGCGATTATTCTAAACGGCCGAATTACGAACAACCCCGCAACAATAGTTTATGTTATTGTATCGAATTTTAACAGTCAACGAAAAACCGAGTAGAAGGATTCAAAGTTGGGGTTTACTTGTTTACGGGTGGTTACTTTCGTATTGTAGAGGACCGTTGGGTTTCTATGCTGTTGTATTAGGGCCCTTGCTGTTGATTTCCTGCTAGAAGGCCCAATTGCAAGAAAATGGCGGACTCAAATTTAGTCCAACCGAAGATGTAAAGAAAACAAACAAGACCGAGATATATATATATATATATATATATATATATATATAAAATATATATAAAAATATATACGATTATGAAAAAATGTTATATATATATATATATATATATATATATAAACAAATATATGTAGTAAACAAAAATTTTACAATAGACCTTATTTGTGTTTTTCTTTTGTGAATGTTCGAATACGATTATGTGTGTTTCTGTTTTTTCCTATAAGTGGGCAAAAACGCTGATTTCTACGAGAGATTATATTTTTTAAATGTGTCCGCTGAAACACAAAGTAAAAAAGAGAACGAGGCAAGAAGTTATTTATATATATATATATATATATATATATATAAAACAAATATATGTAGTAAACAACACAATTTTACAATAGACATAGACAATAACAATTGTGTGTGAACATTTGTGTTTTCTTTTGGTGAATGTTCAATTGTGTGTGAACATTTGTGTTTTTTATATGTAAACAACACAATTGGACATAGACAATAACAATTGTGTGTGTGAACATTTGTGTTTTTCTTTGGTGAATGTTCGTACGTATGTTGTGTCCGTGAAACACAAAGTAAAAAAGAGAACGAGGCAAGAAGTCGCCCAGTATTTATAGAGTAGGGATGTTATATATATATATATATATATATATATAAAAACAAATATATGTAGTAAACAACACAATTTTACAATAGACATAGACAATAACAATTGTGTGTGTGAACATTTGTGTTTTTTCTTTGGTGATGTATGTGTGTTTCATATTTTTCTACGAGAGATTATATTTTTAAATGTGTCCGCTGAAACACAAAGTAAAAAAGAGAACGAGGCAAGAAGTCGCCCAGTATTTATAGAGTAGGGAGAGTGACCTCTAGTGAATAATTAGGGAATTAAGGAGGAGCTAACTCCGACAGTGTAATGTCTTTAATCCAAAAATACACCAATTAATGGCCTTTTAAAAATGCATGCAAAGATAATTAATACAAAGGTATATATATTGCACTGAAGAAAATTTATATCTCTCAAAATAAAATATATAATAATATTCAAAGAGTTCATAAGTTCCTATCAGAAAGTTCTTGTGTTTATAGTCTTTAAGTATGTAGGTATGCAAGTATTTCTTGATTGCAGTAATTCATTCGACTTCCCCTGTGGGATATTTGTGTGTCCGAAGTTTCAGGATAAGGGAACTCTTTTATTTATGTTTTTCTTATCTTTTTGTTTTTATTTCTTTATGATAGACCAAAATGGTTCGCCAAACTTTAGCTTTCTATTTTTGAAACAGTGATATTTTTATTTTTCTACAGTGTAACCCGGATATAAGAGAAACCCGGATATAAGAGAGATTTTCTCTGGTCCCAAATTAGAGCCTGTGTTAATGTTTATAAAATACACCAAACCCGGATATAAAAGAAACCCGGATATAAGAGACTTCTTCTCCGGTCCCGACAACTCTCTTATATCCGGGTTACACTGTATTACAAGATAAATGTGTCTACAAAGAGCATTAGAAAGAAAATGAACATAACAGACTAAGTCAGAATTTGAACTTTGCATGCTCCTTCCGATTTTTATACGGATAATCGTTACACCACCCGTACATCCTCATCTTCTTTTATGTATAGTGTCGCATTAGCACATTGGCTATAATGACGCTCCACATTTTCTTGTCCTTTTTAGCTCTTAATGCATTTGTCTTTTTGTTATCGTCCCTAAACCTTACCTCACCACCCAGAAATTTTAACAGTCTCTTCCTGGTGTTTTAAGTACAAGTGTCCCTTTTGTCGCCTTTTCTCTAAACCTTCGTCATAACTCACATGTTCAGTCCATGGTATTTTCAGCACCCTTCTGTAGAATCACATTTCTTTTGCTTCAAGTATCTTCTCCATATTTGAGAAGCTTGTTCAGCATTCACTGCTAAATAGCAGGACTAATATTAGTTAACAGTTCATTACTCTTTTCTTTTTTCTAATGAAATTTTCTTGTTTCTTATTACTTTTCTTAGCTTTTGGAAGTCATCTTTCGCTATCCGAACGCACATACTAATTTCGGTGTCACACTTACTGGACTCTGTTAAAACTCGTCCCCGATCTCACTGCCATAATAAAAAATGTTTTAAGTATACTGGACATGTTTTTATTATTCCTTTACTTTTAACATATTTACCTCATCTTTTTCGCCCTATTTTCTATCCCCATCCTTACTCATCCTTTCCATTTACCCTCCATCCTTACTCATCCATTCTATTTACCCTCCATCCTTACTCTTCCTTTCCATTTACCCTCCATCCTTACTCATCCATTCCATTTACCCTCCATCCTTACTCATCCATTCTATTTACCCTCCATCCTTACTCTTCCTTTCCATTTACCCTCCATCCTTACTCTTCCTTTCCATTTATTCTCCATCTTTACTCTTCCTTTCCATTTATTCTCCATCTTTACTCTTCCTTTCCATTTATTCTCCATCTTTACTCTTCCTTTCCAGTTACCCTCCATCCTTACTCTTCCTTTCCATTTACTCTCCATCCTTACTCTTCCTTTCCATTTACTCTCCATCCTTACTCTTCCTTTCCATTTACCCTCCATCCTTACTCCTTTTTATTTACCCTATGTTTTTTTTCTTTCTTTCTCTTTCTTTTTCTTTTTCCTTTTTTTCTTTCATTTCTTTGTTCTTTTCTCTTTTCCCTTTCATTCTTTTCTCTTTTTTTTTCTTTTGTTCTTTTCCATATCGTTCTTTCTTTCACTTTCTTTTTTTTCACACTAAATTTTTATCTTTCTTTTCGGGCACCTTGTTTTGGGTAAAAAGTAATGAACTATTTTGACTGAATATTATAGGAATACAATATGAATGCCATCAGTAGTGAGTTTTATCCTTACCTGATGCCCCATACTTGTAGTCTTGGGCTTAAACTAAGTTTAGTAAATATCTTTATTGCCTAATCATCACCTGTTTCTTTCTCACCCAATTTCCTTCCATCCTATATCTTACCCACCTATCTTTCTTTCTTCTTTTTCAGCAAACTTCCTTCTTTAATTGTCTTTCTTTTTTTTTCACTTCTTTTATTCTGTCTTATTTATTTTCTGTCTTTTTTTTTTCTGACTTTTAACCTCTCAGTGTTCTTTGCTCTTCTGACAATCATTCACCATCTTGTCTCTTCTCCCTGTATTCACCTCTTCTGGGCCCAAATCTCCTTAATGCTCAGAAGAACACAACCATTGTTTGACACAACGCATTCATGTCGCCTTTGGTATTTTTCCTGTACTGAAATCCTCACTGCGTTGACTCCCAAGACCTTTTCCCCGTTAAAGATGACAAGTCAATGAATAAATAAATAAATAAAAGCAAAATGCTCCCCCGTTTGCACGAGAAATGCACTTACAGCGTTGTTTATTTCTTGGCATATCAATTGTTTAGTGCATGTTCCTTCAATCAATCTACACCAACTGTATTTATCTTGAGTTAATGATGCAAGAAGCTTTATAACGGATTCTATCAGAAAAGTTACATAGCTTTTTGTCTTTTTTTTTTTTTAACTTATTCCACACTAATAAGGAATCATTGTTGACATCACTATACTTGCAGGTTATCTTGTCTGCCTCATCCATCATCAATTTCTATGTGATGTCTTTTGTACACCTACTCACAACCTATATAGGTTGTATCTAGACAGTAAATATTAATTTAACAAGTTTTGGGAATTATAACTGATAAATAATACTTATTATAATTATATTTTAATAAACTTTCTGCAATATAATAACAACTATTCATAGAAGCTTATGAAAATTTATTTGACTAATTCAGCCTTAGCACTGAAAACGTGTATTTTGTTATAGTGGATGGTTACAAGCAAAAGGGGAGATGGGATGTGCTCATTTTATTACTATATATATATATATATATATATACACACACAGAACCATTGGTAATATAGCTGAAGAAACAGAACAATCCATTTTTCAACCAATTACTAACTTACTATTGTGAGTGGCAAAAACAATTGTCAATATGTTTCTTTTGAAAATTTGTAATGGCATCATATTATCAGACGGACATTTTCTTATATTGGAGGGTATATATATTTATGTGATAGGTTGTTAAGGTGATATTATTGTGACTACATGAGGCCTTCTTTTTGAAAAGGAGGCAGTGTAGTGGTAGTATTGTGTTTTTGGCAATGCAATAATTGTTCAGGAACTAAGAAATGCCCTGGAGGGGAAATTAAACACATTTAATTCATCACATGCAAATGAAGACCAAAAGAAAAGACAAAAGATAAATAGCTGATACCCTTTTCTTTATAACAACTTTATACAACACCACCTAGCAGGCATTAAGAGAAGTTCCTTGACAGACACTTAATGAGAAAGCTATGTAACTTATAGAAAGAAATCAAAAGAAAAGAGAAAGCTATATAAATTTTTATAGAAAGAAAGAAAGCTATATAACTTGATATGGATAGAAATCTATGTAACTTGTTATAGAAAGCAAGCTATGTAAATTGATATAGAAAGAAAGCTATGTAACTTGATATAGAAAGCAAGCTATGTAACTTGATATAGAAAGCAAGCTATGTAACTTGATATAGAAAGAAATCTTTTTAACTTGATATAGAAAGCAAGCTATGTAACTTGATATAGAAAGAAAGAAACCTATATAACTTGTAATGGCATTATTATGTTACCAGTTCATTATGGAACCCATCCGGTTGTAACAATATTGTCTTGTTTATTGGAGAGGGATATTTTCTTGTGTTGAAGGGAGATATAGATTTATGTGATAGGTTGTTGCAGATGGTTGCATCAAGGTTATTTTTTCTGACCAGTAGATCATGTAGAATATTATATATAACTTGGGGTTGAGCACCTCAAGACGGTGTAATATTTAGCAAGTTTGTCTCGTTAAAAAAAATTATGACTGAATAGTGAGTTCAATTCTCAATGGTTGCCCCATACTTTTGGCCTTGTGCTACATCTAAGCTATACTTGGAAAATCCCTATATAATACGGGGTTTTCCTGGGATATAAAAAGCTTCCATAGAGGAGAAATGAGACACAACTTGCAACTACGGCATATTGTGGTTGAAGAGAGATAAAAAAGAGTTGTTGCTCTTTTCTTTTTATACTGCTTCATACAACACCATCTAGTGGCCATTAAGTGAAGTCCCCTGGAAAACAAGTGGGGGTAATCCAACAATACATTTATGACATTCTTTTTTTCCTAATTTTCATAATAAATTCAAAACATAAATAGTCCATCATATATATATATATATATATATATAAGTTCCTGATTTAAAATCCTTCAATACTAAAAGGCTATAATACAGATATAGATAAAACAGACAAGTACAGAGACTGATAGCCTCTCTTCAAGTTTCAATTCAGGAAGTGATTAGCTAGGGTAATTAATTTGATTTATGATACCCACTTATCCTCAGAGATCCCAAGATATTTTCCTCAAACAGTGAGTGTGTAAATTATTCTCTTGAGTAGTTTGTAACACCCTATTTATCATCTCTGAGTTGCGTCTCTGTCTTTGGACAGAGTGTGCTCTTGGGCAGCTCCATCAGAGGACATAGTCACAACTGAGGAAAATTATACTGAGAGGTGCCCAGCCCAGGCGATCAGATGCCTGAGTCTCATTGTGCCAGAATGAGGGACAGGTGCTCACACTGAGGCCAGTACAACCAATGTTTGTGGGGGCTCAGGGAATTTTTGTTCTTCGCCCAGATATACGCACTCGGGCTCCCCACATTAAACCAACCTTGTGTCACAACCTGACCTTATGGTAGGGTTGAATATATAGAAATTTTCCTCTTACAGTTTTTGTCTTTCTTTTGGTCAAACTGAAGAATCCGAAGGAGCATACATTGCTTTCTCCAGGTCTTTGTCTGAGCAGCTTACCCAATGATTATCTCTCATATAAATGTGTGATGTGTATGTTTTCATATATATATATATATATATATATATATATATATATATATTCATACATGTTTCATTAAATAATATAGACAAGTGTTGTTTATTTATTTTATGTAAATTCTTTTCATAACGTCTGATAAGCTTAATAACATTATCATTAAACAAAGAAAGAGAATCACAATATTGATTCATATTTTTTAAGCCTATCTAAACTTTCGGCTTACATAAGCCATTATCAAAGATGACAATTACTGTAGAATATATTAAGCAATACACAGGACAAGAATGTGATGATAGTCTGTTTCTGTTTACATGGATGATTTCCAACCAATGATAAACTCTGGAAGCGAAAATCGCACCACAGCTCATGACGTCACACATGACCCCTCGAGAGTGAATTCGAGAAGTATTAAGTATGGGACCAATTATAGACATTTTAAGGATATTTGTGGAGATTTCGTAATTTATTTTGTTTAGGTTAGGTTTCAACTATTTTATGTATATAGCTTCAAGGATTTTTAGTTTTTGTTTATTGTTTTCATGTTTAAGTATAATTGTGTTTTCAACAAGGATTTTATGGAATTGTCTATGCAGCCAGGCATGTTGTTTTAAATGCCTAAAAATGCTAGTTTTCATTCACACAATACAATACAATAATATATATATATATATATATATATATAAAAAGATGAACACATATATGTGTGTGTGTGTGTGTGTATATGTTTTCATCTACCCACCCCTGCTGTACTTGAAAAACTCTGAAAACGATTTAAGGTAAAAATATCAGTGAAACAAGTCCTAGTTTTTAAGTGAAAAATGAAATCCTTGAAAGTCATTGATTTTGGGTTGCTTTTATTTAAAATAAAACAAAAGAAATGCAAAAATGTAAATTTGATTTAAATTTAGAAAAAAAATAATGCTGCAATATTGACTAAAAATATTGCATCGGGCGGACTGGAAAATCCAATTTGGTTGAACCTGTTTGCATGTGGATGTTGGTTTTGATTAGGTTGGATGAAATCCGTTGGAAGAAGGGAATGAAAAAAAAAAAAAAAAAGAAAGGATACAAAAGAAAAATAAAAGAGAGGGAGGGAAGTATTAAGGAAAGAGAAAGAAAGAAAAGAAATAGAAAGGAAATAGAAAGAGTAAGAAAGAAAATAGAATGGAAATAGAAAGAAGGGAAATAGAAAGAGTAAATAGAAAGGAAATGGAAAAAGAGTAAAAGAAGGACATAGAAAGAAAGAGAAAAAAGCTAAAAGAAAAATAAGAGAAAATGAAAAGAGAGAAAGAAAGATAGAAAAAAAAAAGGATATGAAGTCATTATGGACCAAAGAAAGGAAATAAATAGGAAAGGAAATAGAAAAGGAAAAGAAAGAAACATGTAAAAAGGAAATATAAATAAAAAGAAAAGTAAATAGAAAGGGAGAAACAAAAGCTATCAGAGCAAATGAATAGTGGGGAAATGGTGAAAGATATACAGAGACTAAGATAATAAAGAAAGAGGAAAGTATGAGAAAAGTGAATGAATAGAAATTGTTTTCATCAAACAATATATAATCTTAAGACTGGATTTTCATTAGACAATATATAATCTTAAGACTGGATTTTCATTAGACAACATTTAATCTAAAGACTGGATTTTCATTAGACAACATTTAATCTAAAGACTGGATTTTCATTAGACAACATTTAATCTAAAGACTGGATTTTCATTAGACAACATTTAATCTAAAGACTGGATTTTCATTAGGCAAAATTTAATCTAAAGACAATTATATAAAGACTCATTAGGCAAAATTTAATCTAAAGACTGGATTTTCATTAGACAACATTTAATCTAAAGACTGGATTTTCATTAGAAAATTTAATCTAAAGGAAAATTTAATCTAAAGAAGATTTTCATTTTGACCATTAGGCAAAATTTAAGCTGAAAATTAAATTTTCTTTTGCCAACATTTAAGCTAAAGAATGGATGTCCTACTTCCTATTTTCTTGATTTCTAAATAGTTGATTTATTTTGTATTTTGTCTGTTGGTGTGAGAATTACAGTGGAATTTCATGCTTGTAAAATTTAAAATTCATAGTTTTGATCTTTGTTAGATTATTCTTTGGCAAAGTGAACTGTGAGAATATTTAACAAAATAATTAACAGGATTAATGCGACATCCAAATTATTTTGTATTGTCATTTTTTATTCCGGTTTTGACAGATTCTTGTTTTTATTTATTTATTTATTTTTATTTTTAATTTAAATTTCTGATTTGGCTGCTCAACTGTCCCGGGATTCCATTTG